TAAATATAATCATATTGAACTTCTACATAAAAATGAACACAATGTTTCAATGTTTTGGAAGGCAACATGAAATTGTATAAGTTACAAAAATATTTACATCCTTTACATCCCACTATTCAGTTTACATCCTAAAAGCATTGGTGCTGGAAGGGATGTGGGAAGGGAAGGCCAAGCTGTACAAAAAAAGAAAAAATTAAGATAATATACGACTGTGTTAACATTAAATAGAAATAAAACCCAGAATACATTAGAAAAACCTCGTTAAAATGAATATAAATTGCTTTTGTTTCTTTTAATAACCAGTAAACAAAACAGGTTGTATGCAGAATTATATTGGTTTGTTCCTACTTTCTTTTGTTATCCTTCGTGTACTGGAATGCTTATATAAGGAAAATAAATCTGATAAGTGGTTTTGTAAAAGATGGCTCTCTGGGAACAAGCAGAAAACAATCATAGCCTGACCCCCCTTCTCAACTGCCCAGAAGAGGGGTCCTTGGATCAGATTCTTTCCAGGCCCATTTCAGAATCCATTATCTTGAGGGGAGTGGGAGATCTGATATCTGTGGGGGATCTGATCAAACCCACAGTCTTGAAAAGGAGTCCTTCCACCCAACCACACCCAAATCCGTTAGAGTATTGCTGGCTATTTCTGAAAGTTCCAAAAAGGCTCACGGAAGAGGAAAAAGAGACTGGAAAGGCATCTCAGGGCAAAGAGACTCCGGTTCCAGGCTCTTGTAACGGGATTCTACCCCGTACTAGGCGTGCCCCACTCCCAAGTACTTAGACAACCATCTCTCCTTTTCCTCTGAAGACTCCAACCAGGAGAACCCCAGACCGATATCCTGGCCGCAGGCCTAGCTCCCAATGGGGACTCCCATGTGGGCTGACAGCTGCCTCCCCCTTCCCAGAGCAAGGCTGGGGTCTCCAGGGACACCCTCCTCACTTCTCTGCTTGCACCCCTCAGCGCCCCGAGCCAGGACTCCCGAGTCTACCGGGTCTGGGGACTCCCAGTTTGGACGTCGGGCTCTGCCACGGTGTTCCCCGGGCCAGTCCCCTGACAGACCCCTCTTCGGGATCCTGTTGTCTCTCGCCCGTAGGATGACCTCTATAGGTCTCTCCCAGCCCACTGACCGAGACCGCGAGGGTCCACGCTGGCCAAGCTGTCACCCCTTGTGCCGTTGCCTTCGGTTCCTCCCGCCCCAACAAAATTGCCTTGCCCGAGGGTTCCTTCCCTTGTTCTGATAGCGCCCTTCCCCCGAGCCCCGGGACAAAAGCCACACGACCCCCCCACTCCTGCCGGATCCTCCGCGTTCAGACGCCGCGCAGGGACCGCTCCGGGGGCGCGTGTGTGTGTGCGTGCGTGCGAACAAAGTGTCCCGGGCTCGGCCCGGCCCTCCGCCCGCCCGCCCGTGCGTGCGCGTCTGCGCGCCCGCGGCGTCCCCGGCTCACCTCGGCTGCGGCCCCCGCCGCCCCCGCCGCCGCCGCCGCCGGTGGGGGAGTTGGGCCCCGCCGACTGCTTGCGCCATCCCCGCCAGTTCTGGCAGAGGCTCTCGGCCTCCGAGATGAACGAGCAGAGCGAGTCCTCCTCGAAGCGGTCCGAATCCTCGAACGAGAAGCGCTCGCCGTCCTCCCACTCGGCGAACATCAGCTCCATGGGGCCCAAGCTGAAGATGGAGGAGGAGAGGCCCGGGCGGGCCTCGGGGGCGGGCCGGCTCGGGGGGGAGGTCCGGGCGCTCGGGATGGCCTCCAGGGTCAGGCCTTGGCCCTGGCCGTGCTCGGGACGGGGCCGCGCCTCAGCGCCGGGCGCACGCACGGGGCCGGGCTCGCGGACTCGGGGACCGGGACCCGCTGCTGCCGCCACCGGGGCCTCCCAGCAGCCGCGGCGCCTCCTCCCCCATCAGCTGATCCGCACTTCCGGCCGCGCCGGCCACTTCCACTTCCGCCTCCTCTGGGCCGCCGGGTCGCCCCTATCCCTGCGGGCCCGAAAAGGAACTAGTTCTGGCTACAGAGGTTTTGTCTCCTACTTTCCCAGCTCCTCCCGCCTCCTCGTTCCCTTCACGCGGCACGTTACAAACGGGCTCCCCAAAACTTGGCCGAATGACCCCGGATTCCTGAACGGGGCGGGGGCGGGGGGGCGTGGAGGGAGCGTGGAGCCGCGCTATGCATGCCGGGAATCGTAGGCTTCGGACTGGCAGCTCAGGAATCCCTGGGATCTTTGTGCTCCTCCGACTTCTGCGTCGCGCAGCCTTCTGGGAGTCGTAGTCCAAGGACATGGAGTTCGAAAACAATGATGGAGTAGGACTGGCTGAGAAGTTTGGGTTCCTGCGATTTTCATTCCTCCTCCCCGCACCACACCCCCGTTCCCAACCATCTGACACGCGGGACTCCGATCATGAAACGTTCCATCTGCCCCTCGACTCCCATGCCCAATTGTGTCCGCACAAGAATTAGGCAGAGGTCACCTGCATGCTGTCAGAAGTACTCCCCAGGCTGGATGGGCAGCTCTGGCAGTGGGTCATTAAGCGCCCACTGTACTCGGGGCACTGTGTGAAGCTCTGGGGATACCCCACCCCCCCAAAAAAAGAAAAAGGCAAAAGACAATCTCTGTTCTAAAAGAGTTTAGTCTAATGGGGGAACAACTCGAAAACTTTGTACAAACAGGCTATGTACTGGTAAACTGGAGATAACGAGGAGGAAGGCATTAGCAGAAAGACTTTCTATAGCAGGTGGGATTCTAGCTAGTTGTAAAGGGACGAGACTCTTCATGGCACTAAGAGCTAAAGACACTGGGCGTAATTTTCCATCCCTACCCTACTGGTCATCAATACCTCAAATTCAACATGTCTTTCAAATCCCTGTACCTTTAATTTATATTTCTGCTTCTGACCACCATCCTCCTAGTCCTCCAGGCTCAAAAACTCTGCTATCTTTTTTCACTGTCAGGTTCCATCAACTGCCAAGTCTGGTCAATTCTACTTCCACAATATCTCTTCTTACCAATCTCCTTACTATTGGCCACTGCAACCACCCTGGTGTCTAACCTCTACTTAGCTAGATTACACAAGTTAATGAAGCTACCTGCCTCTACTTTTTCTCCTCCAATCCATCCTTCACAGAGCTGTTTAAATGATCCCTCTAATGATTATTCAGTTATCTTTATCTTTTCTCTCTTCAAAAATATTTAGTGGTTCACTCCCATCATCTACTGAATAAAGTCCTTATCCTGGTATCTTCAAGGTCCTCCACAACCTGGATCCAAATCTACATTTCCTTAGTTCAAATCCTGTCTCAGACACTTTGGGCAAGTAACACTTAACCTCTGTTTGCTTCAATTTCCTCATCTATAAAATGGGTATTATAATAGCACCTATTCCAAAGGATCTATAAGGGTCAAATTAGATATTTGTAAACAGCTCTTAGCACAGTGACTCATATCTTAGTAGGCATTATGTAAATACTTATTCCTTTCCCTTTTTGAAGAAAAAAAATACTACTATCCTCTATGTTTTTAGGCTTATTTACCAGAAACAATTTATTACTAATTTATAGCCAGGCATCTCTAGCTTGAAGATATTTAAACTAGCAAAGTCTCCCATGCCCTCCAATATAACTCTGCCCTAAGGGGATTTTAGGTAACACAGGAATCTTGAACAAGGAAAAGATCATAATATGTTAAAATACAATCTTGAGTTAATATTCTGTATGTCACCACTCTTCCTAGACCATGTGCTTTAAGGATAGAAAAAGAGTTCTGATCAGTAATCAGTATCTTAACACCTTAAAAGCAAAAAAGGTCACTGTTTTTAAATGAGTCAGCATGCTCATCATTTTAGGTGGGTGGGGAGGCCAGGATCTTATCTAGATGAGAGTTAAGTTAGATTTCATCCTTCATCTATTTCCCTAAAAACTGCCTCAATTTCTGCACTACTTGATTCCTAAAGAGAAGAATACAGAATGGGCTTTTAGACCAGAAAAATAATTCTTAATATGCATGGTTTTACTAAAAGGATTTAAAACATGCCAACACAGCCAAACTTAACCGCTTGCTGGCTTCTCCTACTTCAGGGCCGGGCCTGCAGGGGACTCCCTCCTTCTGTACTTACTCCCCCCCTCCCCACAAGGCCTAACTCAAGCTCAGTCTTCCCCCAGGAACTTTACCAGATCTCCCTAGCTGAAAGTGATCTCTCCCCTCCTAACCTTTCACTCACAACTAGGGCCCTTCCTTTGCACTCATCATATTCTGCATTGTTTCGATTATTGTGGTACCAGTATTATTCTTCCAATCAGAGTGCTAGCTGTTTGAAGACAGGGTCTGTCTTCCTTCATCCACTATACCCACTGCCTCCCAGCACAGTACCTTAGGCACATTGGCTACTTAATGTTTGTTTAAATCAGGGGTTCTTAACCTTTTATAGCTGTCTAGTGAAGCCTACGGCCCCATTCTCAGGATAATGCTTTTAAATGCATAAAATTAAATACATCAGATTACAAAGGAAATAAATTAAGTTAAAATACAGTTATCAAAATATTTTTAAAGAAACAAGTTCACAGACCCCAGATTAAGAACCTCTGGTCTAAATTGTGAGTCTGCTGTCTGCCTCTCACACTGTAGGAATCTGAAAGACAGTCAGAGAATGAGAGTCATCACTGATATGCTCAGTGACCCATAAAATCCAAAATCCACTACTCTTGACCACATGTTCTCCCATACAACCCTACACAGTAGTGATGAATCAATGACCATGGAAACAAAAGGCTTTATGTATACCTGGCCTCCCATGCCCCAGCAGCAAGAGGCATTCAAAGCAAATATCAACATCCAGACTAGATGAGCTCTAAATTCCTTCCATCTCTGGAGATCCTGTGTCCTTCAGTGACCTTGAGGAGATCAAACTTGGGTCCACTCCCAAGGCAGGTCAATGTATCTTCTCTACGAAGCAAAGAAGGTCCCACGGGGATTGAACAGCAAAGGGTGACCTGATCCACAACACAGCCCAAGCTCTCTGTAAAGATTTTATTTCAGGGTAAAGCAAAACTCTCACCCAAATCACAACCCCACAGGGGTGAGACCATGTCCTATGCCACTCAGTTCAAACACCACTAAGTTGCTTCCATAAGGCCAGTCCTTAAAAAGCTAAGCAACACCTTCAGATAATGCAGGATATATTAGGAAACCTCCCCAACAATTTATTTGTTTGCTTGGGAGTCAAATTCCCAGAGGAGCCCAGCAACTCCTGTTTTGCCTTCTGCTTCCGCTCTGCCTATAAGAAAAAAAAGTAATGACAGTGTTGACACCCAAAATTTCCTCTGACTTAAAACTCACAGCCCCCCTAGTCACAATCCCAACAACTCTAGGGGGAGAGAAGGGACCCTGCCCAAATCTTTCGTCCTATTCTTGGTTTCTCCTCCTCATCTGAAATAGAAGAAACCTGTGATCTCCAAATGATCTTTCAGATCTACCTGAAAATATGTCTGCTGTAAGGAGATACCCTCCCTTTCCTCCTGGATCTCCCCTCTCAAAGATCAGAGATCTTAGGGGGCCTGACAAGAGGGGCCAGCCCCCTCCCTAGCCCAGGCAGGCATCCCTACCCAAGGCCACTCCCTCCCATCCCAAGGGTATCCCTGTCACCTCAGCCTTTGAAGCACAGTCAAAAAAGTCTTCGATCTCCTTGGAACAAATTGTGTCGCTAAATTCATTCTGCTTCCAGCAAGCCATCATCAAGGACATCTCGGATATACAGGTTGCCTCTGGAAGAGGGCAGCAGGGCATCTCTGAGTCAGAGTGCCCACTTGCCCCCACATTCCTCTCTCTCCCATCCCCGTCCATCCAGCCCACCCATTCATTCACTCAAAGATTCACCTGCTTACTTACTTCACTCATTCAAATATTTTCCTACTTCATTAATTCAAAGATTCACCTGCTTGCTTCATTCATTCATTCACTCAAAGATTCACCTGCTTGCTTCATTCATTCATTCACTCAAAGACTCGCCTGCTTGCTTCATTCATTCACTCAGAGCTTCGCCAGCTTACTCTGGGCCCGCCTCTAGGGTAACGACTAAACAGTAACCCAGCCCCTGCCCTCGAAGGATGGACGCTCCTGGGGGGCTTGAAGGGGGCACGACAAGTACACAAGGAAGGTTTGGAAGGCGTCCAAACAAAAAGCTCCAGGAGCACGTGAGGACCAGGAGAGGGGAGCACCGGAGAAATCAGGCCCGGCTTCGTGGAGGAGGCGGCCCCTCCCCCCAGACCCCGGCGGCCCGCGCCGTGACGCACTCACCCCCGAGCTCGCGGCGCCCCGCCCCGACCCAGTTGGCCAGGATCAGGGGCTTGTTGGGTTTCAGCACCGGCCGCTTCGCATTGCCCAGGCGCGCCAGGCGGCCTCCCAGGCTCGGTGTAGCCATGGCCCCACTCCTACCGCTACCGCCGCCGCCACCGCCACCGCCACCACCACTACCGCTCGTGCGTCCGGACGTCCTTGCGTCATCGCGCACGCCGGGGCGGGGCGTGTCTCCATTGAGACGCGCCCCGCCTAGTCACTGCCGCCGTTTCCCTGGAGGCCTCTTCCCTGGGATCCCACCCGGCCTTGGAAGGGCCTGGAAGCGGGGGAGGCAGGCCGACCCCCAAGCCCGAGGTTAGGACAGTGCCCCAGGGAGGCGGCGAGGACCGACGGAAGCCGGCGACCGGGGCTCAAAATCCGCCAGTGGGGGACCTCGGGTAAGTCACCGAACCTCCCGCGGGCCTCAGTTTCCCTGTCTGTAAAATGAGAGAGGCTGGTCCACGCAGGATCCCACGATTAAAATGAGGTGTGACGAACATGCAGGCGGAGCAGGAGCTGATGAAGGCCCCAGGAGAGCTCCCCGGGCACCCAGAGCCTCGAGGAGAGTGCCTGCACCTTTGGGGGCTCACAACACAAGGGCAGGCGTGGATGGATGCCCGGCAGCGCCCGAGATTTTAGGCCCTGGGCAGCCCGACAGCTCCCCGAAACGTGGAGCCCTCCTCAGTAGACCCATAAGGCTGAATGCCAGCATGGATACCCGCGGGTAAAAGAGACTTTAATGGCGTGGCCCGTGGGGCGTTCGCGATTGGCTCTAGGGAGAAAGCAGGACTCACCTGCAGAAATATGCTGATTATTTATGGGGTTTTGTTTGGTGCATTTGTTTAACCGAGTTCTTTCATTTCGTACAGGAAGGCTGTCCTGTGTCTGTTAAATGGGCTGGTACCTTCAATACTTATGTGCTTTTTTTTTTTTTGGCTAGGCAGTGGGGTTAAGTGACTTGCCCAGGGTCACACAGCTAGTAAGTGTTATGTGTCTTGAGTCCACATCTGAACTCAGGTCCTCCTGAATCCAGGGCCGGTGCTCTATCCACTACGCCACCTAGCTGCCACATACCATAGTCTGAGATTTTCCAGAGCAAGCCAAAGAGTAATTTGGGAGGTACCTCCAAGACTGGACCTGGCCCCTGTAAACCCAAAGCTTTGGGACCACTGAGCCAGGGAGTTACATGGAGTTGTCTTGCAGGATGGATGTCTCTGAACAGACGCTCAGTTACTGCTTTTTGGACTGAACTGGATTCCTGGGATGCTGCCCAAAAAGTCTACCACCAAGTGATGGTGATGAACTTATGTGTTTACTGGAGATTATCTCTGGATAGTGAACACAGTCAGTATCTGGAACCGCACTCAAGGTTCCTCCAGCTTGGTGAGATCTTTGAGTTTGTGTATCTTTGGCATATCCTTGATCAACCTAGAGTCACTTTCACACCAAGATGATGTCTAGGAGGCAGAAAGTTACAAAGTAATCAAGGTGATTTTCTCCCTACATAAATGTATCAGAACAGGCAAGATTCCCCTTCATAAGTCACCTTGGAAAGCTATCCATTTATTCTGAGGAGGCTGCCATTGCTCAAGCCTTTTGGAATTCCACTCCAAGACAGTTTAGGAGCCACAAAAGAACATACAGTATTGAGAGTAGGCAGATCAAAACAACATGGTAACAGCATTTATATATCACTTGAAGGTTTGCAAAGCACTTTACAAATGTTATCTCATTTTATCCCCATAACCACGAAAGGTCCATGCTGCTATCATCATCCTCATTTTACAGATGGGGAAACTGAAAATGAGGCAAGTTAATACAGCTAGTTAAGTGTCTGAAGCTGGATTTGAGCTTAAAAATCCTCCTCACACAATTTCAGGCTCAGACACTTAATGCAGATTGAGAGGAGTCCCAAAAATGTTTTGAGCAATAATAGCATTGTAGGAGTTAAGTATATTGCGTTTCGGGTTGACCATTTAAGGGGCAACACTTATGTGATTAATGTAGGTCTCATTTGGTGAATTCCCTTCCTTAACCAGAGTGTGCCCTCTCAATCCTCATTCGTCTAGCCTCAGCTTAGGTGCCAAGGGCTCTGGAAACACTTCTTCATTCCCCTACAGCAGGGGTGGAGGACCTGCTGCCTTGAGGCCTCTTGTTGGCTATCCAGGCCCTTTGTCAGGTGACATCTGGATTCAAAGGGCCAAACTCGAGGCTAGCACTCAACCCTTGCTCTGGTATGTCTGTTGCATTTCCCATCAGAATGTATGCAACCTGTGACTCGGTGCCTCACAAGAACAGAGTCTGGTCTTGTGGACCAACCCCAAAAGTCAAGATTCTCTCTTTCTGGCTCCATCCCTCAAACGAGAGTTAATCGGGGAAAATCTCCAACTACAGCTTAGGTTTATACTTCATGTGTAAGTTTTCCCAAATGTGAATAACAGGGTTCCTAGCCTCTCGGCACTCAGGCATTTGGGTCTCCCTGCCCAAGCAACACTTAAAAGCTATGTTTTGGGCCCTCCCAGCTCAGAGCGAATGTAAATAGTAACTGTCTCTTTTGGCCAGCAACCCTGAGGGTCTTCCCCTCCCAGTTTGATGTTTTGTTTTTTTTTTAAATTAAAGGGGCCATCCTTTGACTCACTTTTTTTGTACTTTTTTTTCCTTGACTCATTTCTTAAAGAGACTTATACACTGAATGGGCATTACCTCACTCAAAGTGAGAACCTAAAAAGACTTTAGCTTAAAAGGGCCAAGGTCTCCATTGCATCCTGGACCATCTCCAGTCATCCTGATGAATAGAGGCTAGTGACCTTGCACAGCCCTGTCTCACTCAAAACAGTCAATTCCAAGTCCTGCCATCATCTCCATGATGTCGTAGTCCTCTTTGAGAATGAAGGACAAACACAACTGGGCAGTGTAGCCTTCATTTCAATGCAAAGAAAATACAGGCAACACAAAGGACTCACACAAAACACAGTAATCCCAACACTGCAGTGAATTTGTCTCCACAGAGAACTTCTGAGGCCCTGGACTCCCCTGGGAGGGAAAAAGGCTTGTCAGAAGTGCTCACTCACAGTGACCCTTCCCACTCAACCTGCACTGTCCAGATGACTCATGGGAATTGCAAAATGTCATGGTCAGCATTTGGACCACTTCTATGACTAGTCAGTTAATAGAGGCTATATGGGCAATTCTCTTCTTTCTCCAAGGCCAATGCTGTTCAGGAATGCCATGAGGAGTCATTCTCTTTCCTTAGAAGGTCTCATCCCTGAACTTTCCAACTTGGGAATTGTTGAACTTGGAGGTACTCACAAGGCAAGCCCCAAGACTGTCACTGCCCAGGAAATTTCCCTTCTCTGATTAGAAAGCAAGACTCTGGGACCTCAGTGCCTAGAAAGACATTCATCAGGCCCACCTAAGTGAACACCTATCTGCTTCTGCCATGTGCTTCAGCTGATGTGTTCTTTTGGGCTGGGAAAGTCAGTTCTTAGGAACTCTAGTATCTGATCTCTGTGTTCAGAAAGCTTAGGATGAGCAAATGTACCTTCCTCATGCTTATGCTCCAAGGGAGCAGTTAGGACAGACTATTCGTTATTGATGGGGAGGATCCTTGTTTGACTTAATCTCCCTCTGGCTTTCCCTTTCCTCATCTGTAAAATGAGGGGATATTGAGTTAGATGACCTCTATGGTCTCCTCCAGTTCTAAATCCTGATCCTCAGAAGTGAATGGTATAAATTCTTGTATATTTATCAAAAATCAGTCATTGGGGAAATTATGATGATATAAAAACAAAAGGTATCAACAAATAATTTTTAATCAGCCATATTTCATTTATGCGATGTCCTGGGCAATCATAATCCTGAGCACATCTCTTTGCATAGGCAAAGAAAATAATCTTGAAGCTCTTCTCACTTCTATCTTCATTCTACCATTAATATACACCTGATTCCCTCTCCATAAAAAACACACAAGAAAAATACTCAAGTAGGAGAGGTTTATGCTAAAAGCACTTTATTCCAAAATTAAACCTGAGCTTATAATATAAAATAGCAACAAGTCATGATGATGAAGGCAGTAAGTCACTACAAAACAATCTGAAATAACACTGATTCCAAGGCAGACACTAACATAACTGGTGAATCAAACTCTGCAGAGGACAAATCTGAGATTAACCACGTTTATCCTATATCACTGTAAGCAACTAGTACATCAAGAAGGATAACCTAGACCAGCATCTCAAGTCCCAAAGACAGGATCAAGTTCACACTGGCCTGGTCCTCTGTAGGGAAAGCAAAACCCTCACTTGAGCTCCCTAGCTCCCATGTAGCTATGTTGCTCTACTCCACTTCCACCAATGTCCAGTGGTATCCACTTTGCCACACAAGTGGCCAGTGCTATGCTTGCTTTCTTGTGTATTATTAGCAGGAAAGTAAAAAAAGAAAAGCCCAAGGGGCAGCTAGGTGGCACAGTGGATAGAGCTCCGGCCTTGCAGTCAGGAGGACCTGAGCTCAAATCCTGTCCCAGACCAGACGCTTGACACTTCCTAGCTATGTGACCTTGGGCAAGTCACTTAATCCTGATTGCCTCACTGAAAAGAAAAAAAAAGAAAAGCTCAAATAGAGCTAGCAATCAGGTCTTGCCTCATGGTTGCTAGAATTCCCTAATGACTGACCCACTCGGTGCATATAAAGTGCTGTAACACACCTGTATAATTAGAAAGGATGGTAGGGATGAATCTAGCACCTTCCCTACCATTCCAATAAAAGCATCTATCCTTTCATTGCACATAATGTAAATAACACCAAACTAGTTTTTGTCTCCGTTTAGTATATGTCCTATATCGTTAACATATGTCTGTTTCTAACATTGTAAATTCTGAGGGCAAGGCCTGCTTTTCATTTCCTTTGTAGCTGTCCAGAACAGCGCCACATTCAAATGGGATACTAGGACAAGCTCTGGTTGGTTGTTCCTCATCTCATCCTCTACAAGCTTCCTTTGAATCTCTTTTCCTTACTGAGCTTTCCACTCGAATGCCCAAAGAGAGCTTAGGCAGCCTTTCTAGTCTGGTGTAAAGTGCATTCTCTGTCAGACTCATAGTTTTCTGAGCATCAAAGAAAATTGTTTTTTATCACTGCTGGATACATTCAGTACTAGAATGTTTTGGCTGGCAAAATGAAGGGCAAACTTCAGAAAAGATTTCAATAATACTGGTGTGTGGATGTGTGGGGACCATAGCTGCAAGGGTGAGGCATGAAAGCTGTCCATCACTCCCAATGATGATTCACTGATGAAGAACCACAAAACCTTTGTGTCTGTGTCTAGGACCCAACACAGTTTTCCTGTGCTACTGTAGAAAAGGCCTGTGTGGCCCTAAACCCCCAAGTTTGGCCCTTTGACTGAATCCAAACTTCCCAGAAGAAATGAGATTTGTTTCACATGTGGCCTTGAGGCCAAAGGTTCCCCACCCCTGGTATGGTCTTCTTGCCCCGAGGAAGTCAGGCTGTGCATACAAACCACAGTGATTTAAGTGGGTTTGGCTGCATCCCCACAACTGACCGCCTATAGCTCTTTACTTACCCAGCCACTTGTGGTGACCATCTCCTGCCTTCCCATCCCCATTAGCTGGGTGCCTTGGCTTTATTCCACCCTGAATAATGCATTATCAATGGATAATACAACATCACAACACTGTATGGCTGGGAGAAGACCACAAAACTCTTTACACAAAAGCAGCAAACCAGGGGGAAGCTTAGTGAAGCTAAAATACCAACGCACTTGAGACGGAAAGTGCCTCAGAATAGAAGGTATACATAAAATGGCACCTTGAGCACCCTTTGCAGCACACAAAAATCAACAAAATTCACTGAGCAGCAGGAAAAGCAAGACCACGTGATGCCAACAAAAGATGGTATTTCGGTTGGTTGACTGCCTCTTTGTACATCTGAATTTCACAAAGAGTCTGACCCCAGGAAGATTTTCTCCATTGTATTTTCTGGGGGAAAAAACTCTGAATTGAGGGCCAGAAGACACAGTTCTAGTCTAGTCTCTGTCATTCATAAGCTACAAGATTGGGCTAATCATTTCACCTGACTCTCAGTTTTTGATGTGTTTGAAAAAACAAGTGTGTATATGGGGGAGGGGAGAGGATTATAAGATTCCTTCCAATTCAAACATTTTAGGACACTGTGGCTTAAGGATGTTAGCACAGATGAGACCTGAGAAGATGAAAAGTCTGGAGAACTGAGTAGTCTTTGCTATTTAACCCTGGGGACCAGCTCTCTAAATAAAACCAGTCAGAATGCAGGGGGTCACTGAACCCTTCCCGGGTCTGCCACAGAATAAGCAGTTCCATTTCTGTCTTCCTGGAGGGCACAAGGGCTTTTCTGAAACCACATACTAAACAGCATGATGATGGGGATGGGGTGGGGGGAGGGATGTACTGGGAATCTCCATACCTTAAGAAGAGGTGACACCTTTCCCTTTAAGCCACAAAGTAGAAAGAGAGTCTGTCCTCTTCCAGACTGTTCCCCACCTCAGCTGTGCCCAAGGAACTCATGTAGGTGGCCGGGGGTACTGATACCTTCGGAGGAAGATGTCCTGCATGTAATCCCAAAATTTCCCTTGGTGTGTCTCACCGTTATGGATCATGGCAGTGAGGGCCTCCCCCTGGTCCAGGCCTTGCCAGTAATCCTGCAGCCACATCTCTTTCCAGCTGAAACGTCAAAAAAGGACTGGAATTATGGAGCTCTTAGTAGAGTCAGATACACAAAGCTAGAACCAGCCAGGGGGGACCTGTGCATTATAATGGAGGTGGGGTAAAGTTCAAGTGCACACATGAGACTGAGAGCCAGATTGAGAATACTGGCAAAGGCCTCGAGGCCAGGTGGAGCCTGATTGTGGGAGGTTCCATGCTTTCCCAAGGTCCTTGGTTTTTCCCATCCATGTATATGCCCCCTGTAGCTTGGCATCCACGAGTGACCATACCTACTTGTCTACCTTTCCTGTAGTCCACCCTAGCATGGAACTGAGCATACAGCAGGAAGAAAATAATATCTGTCAACGACCTGATGAACTTAGATGCCCCCCACCCCCTCAGTCATCAGCAGCAGCTCCGTAAAACCGATCTCCACCCGCCATTTGCCGCCCAAAGCAGCCTTTAGGAAGAACCCCATATTACACTAAGGAAAAGTTACTGTAAAACTGTTGAGCAGTCTTTAGAACTGGCAATTCTAATGACTAACCTTGTCTCTAAGCCCTTGTTTAACATGGACAGCACCTTATTCTCTGCATCACAAGATTCTTCCACGTGGCCCTCACATTTTCCTACCCCGCCCCTGTCTCAGGGCCTTTATCGCTGTACAAATGGCTACAATAGCCTCACAATTGGTCTTCTTGCTCCCAGACTCTAGCCACCCCCCCCATACCAGATTATCCTTTCTAAAACGCTGCTTTGATCCCTTCCCTGCTCAAAACCCAAGGACTCACCACTACTTAAAGTCCTTGGGCCAAATTGGTCTGAGGCCTGGCACTGTGGCTTGAGCAATCCCCTTCATCCCCCTTCCCACCCCCACACCCCTGATCTATCTTTTAGGACCTGTTCAAACCCTACTCCCTTCCTCCCCAAAGCCCTAGACCAAAGGGATCCCTCTCCCTCTATGGACCCCCGCAGAGCACGTGGAGAGGGCGGGGTCAGCCACAAAGGCCCTCTTCCCCATGGAGCGCCCGGCCCTCCTCACCTGTCGTTCTCGGGGATCTCCTCGGGCCTCCCAAAGCCGGGAGAGGGCTCCGGGCAGGCCATGTGGGAGTGCTGCGCGATTCGGGGCGGCGGCGGCGGGATGCGGGCAGGGTCGGCCGCGTGGGCCTCTTCGGCGGCGAGCCTGGCCAGCTCATGGTCACAGACGAAGCACTCGAAGCCCTCCAGGTAGCTGGGCTGCCGGGGGTCATTCACGCCCCACTCGCGCTGCTCCAGGCTGTGCAGAAGAAGCTGGTTGGTGATGCCCCCGGGCTGCTTGTAGGCCAGATACTTGGCGTACTCGTCGTCATTGCTGTCCAGGAAGTCGATGAAGGCGGCCAGCTGCTGCGGCGACTCGAAGTCGTCCACCAGGATGACGGCGCGCTCGTTGGGCATCCAGTCGCGCACGGACGGCGAGCCGCGGTACACGGGCACGGCCCCCAGGTGCAGCGGCCGCCACAGCTTCTCCGTCATGTAGTCCTCGCAGATGGCGTTCTCCATGGCCAGGTGGAACTTGTAGCGGGACAGGAAGGCCAGGAGCTCAGGGTCCTCCGACGTGGCTGTGGCCGTGTCGCGCAGCCTGACCGGCAGCTCGCGATTCTGCAGGCACTTGCCATACGAGTCCACCTGCGCGGAAGAGGACAGCCCGATCGAGATCCACCCCCCGGGACCGCCCCTCTCTTCACAGACCCCGCCCCCAGCCTCACCACGCCCCCAAGCTTTTCGGACACGCGCCCCACCGCCCCTTTCTTCGTCACTGACCTCGGCACCCGGGACCGCCCCTTCCCTTTGCTGATCCCGACCCTCCTCAGATCGTACCGTTTACCCCGCCCCCCAGCACGCCCCTCGCCTCACCGGAATGTAGCGCATGAGCTCGCGCACGTAGCGGTCGCGGTCCGAGGGCACGTCGCAGTGGGACTGCAGATAGAGGAGTGGCGCGTAGCCTTGGCGGCGCCAGGCCGCGCGCTCCGCGGGAGCGGGCGCGGCGCGGCGCAGGTAGGCGAGCCCGGGGAGCCACTGCAGCGGCAGCGGGTAGTCGGAGCGGCGGCTGAAGGTGGCGCTGAGGTTGAAGAGGCGGATGCCGGGCGCGTGGCTCAAAAGGAAGTTGTTGAGCGGCGACTCCTCGTGCAGCAGCGCCCAGCTCTGATGCGCCAGGCGGGGCAGCGGCGCCTCGGACGCACGGAAGTCCGTGCCGTAGAAAAGCAGTGCGCGTGTGCGCGGCTCCCGCCGCCGCCGCCGGTCCCGGGAGGCCACGCACGCGCCGCGCGCGCACTCGATGCGCTCCGAGTCCCCGGGGAAGTGGGGAAACAAGCCTGGACTCCACCACAACAGGATGGGCAGGTCGCCCTCGTCGCGCTCCGGCTTCCCCAAGCTCCGCGCCACCCCCACCGAGCCCAGCGCCGCCGGCGGCTGGAAAACCGCGCCACTCCAGGGCTCCGCCCACTCCGCCTCGCCCTCGGCTCTCGGCCCGGCTCCGCCGCCGCAAACCCAGAGCATCACGGCGGCCGCCAGCGCCACGCCAGCGCCCGCCATACCTTCTCCCGGCCTCGGCCCGCCGGCCTCAGACGAGACCCCGCCCCAAGGAGACAGGGAGGAGCGGGGGGGGGGAAGAAGAGCACCTCCTTCACGCATGCGCGCCTCTACGACCAGCTCCCACCCATGTCTCTCGTCCGGGCCAAGAACCAGGCGATCTTAATACATCTTAATTTATTTTATTTGTTTCTTTACAAATTAAAGATGCATTGAAAAAATAAACCAGTGAGGAGAAGTGAGAGGCCCGGGGCGTCCCCCATCTCCAGCTCAGTGCCTGCCCTTGGACCTGGGTCTGTTAAAAGGTTCGGCTGTCCTAACGGGTCAGTGCCAGAAACCGTGGCGTCGGGCAGGCCAGGGCTCCTGCACCATTGTCCATTGGGCCTCTCCAACTCCGGCCCGGGGGCCCGGGGGCCCGTGGGGCCGGGGCAAGGCAGCGGGGTCAGGGCCAGGAGGGTTGGCTCTGTGAGGTATTGCAAGTTGATGACCGGGCTCCCTACAGAACCATCCAGTGTTAAACACCCCCACGGGAAAGGGGCTTGGTGACACGGCTCCCTACCCCCCCAAAACGTCCGCAATTTCGTCCACCTCCATGAAGGGTCCCAGGCTCTCCTAGCAGAGAAGGGGTGGGTAGAAAGAAGCCCCAGGGTCTCCACCCGGAAAGTGAACAACAGACATTGGGGGCAGGGAGAAAAAGTTGGAGGCCGACAACTTCCTCCTCCACCCCCAAAATTCCCCCTCCCTCCCCCCAGTGTCTGCTGCTCCCACGGGTGTAGGAGAGTTGGGCTAGCCTAGAAACACTGGACTCCCTACCACCCACCCCCGGCTCCTGTACACCCTACATGTCATCCCTAATATAGGAAGCCATTGATAATAGCTGAACCAGCACCCTGAATCCTCTTTTCTGTCCCATTTGACCACTGCCCCAACCCCCGGATCCCCACCATTCACTCCTGCTGCCCCCTCTCTTGGCTTAGAGATTGGCCCAAATGGACACAGAGTATTCCCAGAGTTTGGGTGCCTCTGCACCCCCAACACTGAGTCACACACAGTGAACTGAGAAACTACATTCATTATGACAGGGTTAGCAGGAAAGAGGGGGATAGAAGGAGCACCTGCCAGCAGCAGGACATAGTTGAGTGTTGAGACACTTGGACCCAGAGAGGGGCTACCCTCCCCAGCCCCTCCCCCACCCTCCTGAGACTGAGGGGATCTCTGCTTACGTGACTTATATTATATGCAACTGTCCAGATTTCCCTGCTGTCCTGGGGACGTGTGGGGAGCTGGCCTGGAGCCCTCTGCCCCGCACCCACTTCCTCTAGCTCAGCAGCTGCCGGATCTCCTTGTGCATGTGACACAGAAAGTCTACGTAGGATGCACCTCCATTCAGGCTCTTGTCCTCCACCAGGAAGTGCTTGAATAACATCTCCAACTTGTCCTCTTGCTTCACCACGATGAGCTGATGCCAAAGCAGAGATTACATGGGAGGACGGTGGAAGCAAACCAATCCAACACCCCTCCTCCACCCCTATTCTTCAGAATCATCCCTGGCCCAATCACACCCAGGAAGTCAATGACACAAGGGGAACTTGGGAAGAGATTAGTACCTTCATATATCGGGATCTCTGCGCTCGGAAGCTGTCAATGAGGTCACGCACCCTTTTAGACAATGGGTTCTCCAGGACTGGCAGGGCACTCTAGAAAACACAGAACTCATGGTTTCCCCTATGGCCAGGTTACTGTATCTTAGCCTAGTCATGAATACAGCCCCATGAAACAAAGGAAAGACAGGATCTGAGATGAGACAATTCCATCCCATGCCTCTGTAATACTTGGAAAAGACCAGCAGATCCTATCCAACATACTAAGTCCCTATAACTTTGCCTTCGCTCATTAACATCACCTACAACCCTCTTTCCCTCCAGATTTCCAGCCCCTCACCAGGCCACTGTTAATCTGGCTGAAGGAAGGGACGCTGAAGAGGCTCTGGACAACACCTTGCTGCACACTGGCCCCAACCCAGAGGAAAAGGTTAAGCCCATTCTCCAGTAAGTACACATCTCCCTTGCTGAGGCGTTCCTCGGATGCCCGGACAGCCGGTGGTTCGGCACTGCTTTCCACTGGAACCTTTGTCTGGGAGTAGAGGAAGGAAAGAGGATCAGACCACTGGGAACCAGTAAACCCCTAACCAAGACAATACCAATTGGCTCAGATTCTCCCCCTCTCCCAGGCTGGGCTCTCACACTCTCATCAGTGCCTACCTTCTCCCCCAAGTTCATTTTCTCCCTAGCAAGAGCTCACATACCAACCCTCATCCTCACCAGTGGTAGGAGTCGAGGATAGAAGAAGACATTGGTTTCTGCCACATCCATTGAAGTGACCAACTGCCGAACGTAGGCTCGGTCATCAGTGGTGACCTCAGCCCCAGGCTGCAGGACATCACTCTTCAGCACACAATTCAGGTAAACAGGGAGAAGCTTCATGCACTCTGGAAGGATGAGCTGAAGAAGGAAGAAGAGAAGAGGGACACTGAGGGAACCTGGGGGAATTCCTATCAAAACCAGCCTAGGATTCCTCCTTTCTTTTCATCTCCTCTGCAACTTCAACTCTCAACCACACACTTCCATCGACCCCTTATTCCCAAACCTGTCCAGCAGAAGATGGGCTGGCACAATTCTTTCGGTAACAAGCCAGGATCTGGGCACACTGGCTGATAAGAGCATCACGTACTGTCTTCACGGGACTGCTCAGTACTCCCCGGTATGCTAAGAGAGAAAAAGAATACAAGGCAGGTCATTCCAAGTCACCCTGCTATAAGACACTAATAATAACAGCTAGCATTTACATAGTGCCTTAAAGTTTGCAAATGTGTCACAAATACTATCTTGCTTTATCCTTACAACAACCCTAAGAGGCAGTGCTGCTATTCTTATCCCCATTTTAAGGATAAGGAAACTGAAGCAGACAAGGATAGGTGATGTGCCCATGGTCTCACAACTCACCTCATCAAACTTAACCAAACAGACCTCTGATTCCTGTCCCCAACATTTCCCCTACCTATTCAAGTGCCAATCCCTTACCAAACTTGGCCAGGTAATTAATGAGCGTGTCAGTCTCACAATTCCGATATAAGTCAGCCAGCTGGGTACAGCAATTCAGTGACAGGTTGTGAATACGGAGCCTCCGCTGCCCTGCACAGCTTGTGTAGAGCAGAGCACACTGGATGGGCAGAGATAAGCAAGAATCAGACAGTCCCTTCCCCAAAAGCCTCCTTCTTTGGTACTGCCCCCAACAAACACAGCAGAATAATTGGGGGTGGAGGGGTGTATTCATTTAGACTTGTGATTTTATTGTCCTTTGTAGGAAACTACAGGCCAAGAAACTTCTGTGACGCCTATCAGCAGTAACTGTTGGCCAAGTGACAGTCTGAAAGTTGCCTGAGACAGTGAGAAGTTATTTGCCCAAGGTCACAGGGCCACAGTTAATGTGACTAGAACTCCCAGAATGGCCTCTAGCCACTGCTTCACAGAAAGAGACAGGAGGTAACTGACATTTCCTTGCTGGGTCTCATTTCCTAACCTGGATGAGGGCTCCGCTGTCTTCACTGAGGCGATCATCATGCTTGAATTCTACAGTCACTGTCTTGTCCCCGTCCAGACCTGCCAGCTCGACATCTGTCGTGTTGCTCATATAGAAGGCTCCAAAGAAATCGGTAGCCCGGATACCTGAGGTCACAGAGACAGTGCCAGGACAAAGCCTATGTAAGAGCAGCTCCCCAAACCTCACCTGAAACCTCCCTCCCTTATACATTTCCTCTTCCCATCCCAGGACCAACCGGTGCTCGTCCGGACTCGCATCACAGCATCGAAGCCAACATCCTTCTGTACGTCCCGACGTAGGTCACTGAGGAAACGCTCCTGGTCACTTTCCACCTGCAGTTTCCCAGGCCTCAAGTCACACTGCTGACTCCCCTCACAGTATGGGCCATCCCCACCCACCCCCAGTACCTTCCAGAACTACTCTCCTCCCTGACCCCCCAGCCCACAAACTGTCTCTGACACTATCCTCATCAACAGTACAAGTGGGACAGAAAGCTCCCAGCTCTGCCAATGCTTTTGTTGTCAGTCAGTATGTTTGAGTGTCCAGAGCCCATACCTGGAAGCAAGCGTACTTGTATACGGAGCCACCAGTATGATAGGGTACTACCCCAAGGGTGGCCACATCTACATACTGGTTAGGAAAGAGAAACAGGTCCACACAGCAGCCCTGAGCCACACACTCCTTGGCCAGGGACTGATAGAAGCCTGTTTGTGGCTGGAATAGGGTCTGGGAAAAGAGAGGAAGGGACAAGGAGTTATCGTCAACAAATATTTCATTACTTATTGAGCACTGTGTGAGATACAAAAAAAATGTAACGTATCTACAGGGAGCCACTATGAATCCCAGCTTATTTCTGAAACAGGCTGTATCAAAGGATCAGTGGGAGGTAGAAGAACCGTGTCAGAGGCATGCAGTTTGTAGGGGGTGAGATTTCTCATCTAAGCCCACTCGCCCCAGCCCACCTTCTCCTTGTCAGTGTTAAGCAGCTTCCGGTCATCTCGGTTCTTCAGCTTCCCAGGGGCTTCTGCAATGGGCAAAGACGTATGGAACAAAAACAACTTCCCTGGACACTCGGCAGCCTGCAGATGGGGCAGGAAGAAGAGCCATGAACATTTTGGCTAAACAGACCCTTCCCTCTAGCAACCAACGTATTGAGGGGCTGGCAAGTTGTTTCAAACAATCCCTGAAGCACCTGGAGTCACATCTAACACTCTATTCTAAATAGCCTATGACAGCCCTATGCTTACCTTCAGGGCCTCCATTCCAGCCTGAATCACGGGGGCAAACACTGTCTCTGTCTCCCTCGTATCTGCAAACATTTCTGGAATCTGGTCCAACAAACTGAAGGAGTAAGAAAAGTCAGTCTGAATGGCTACCTCCATCAGTATCCTACCCATCCAGGGCCCAACCACCAAAGCCTCCAATCACAGACTGCAGCCCCAATTACAATTCAATCCAGCACATATCACGTGCAAGGCACTGTGTCAAGTACTGGGGATGCAAACAGAAAGTAGCACAGCCCTCGCCCTCAGGAAACTTACCATCTATCAAGAAGAACAAGAAATGTACTCTACTAACTCTAAGGACCGAATATAAGTACCAAGGAAAAGTCAAAAAGAATGAGAAATTTAAAAAAAAAAAAAAAGAGAGATGCCTTTCAGCTTGTTGGAGGAAGGAGAGGAGAAGGCACCTGACAAGAAATGAAAGACATTTAATGGGGCTGGAGGTTCACAGAGCAGTAGTACAGTTTGGCTGGAAAAGCCTCAGTGTGGATGGGTAGAAATGGATACTGTAGCCAGACTCTGGAAAGCCTTGAAAGGCAGGCTAAGTTTTTACTTTATTTAGGAGGCAATGGGGAACACGAAAAGTTTTTCAGTAGGACAACTTAATTAGAGGAGTATGTTAGGAAAATTATTCAGGCAGCAATGTGAAGGATGGACTAGATAAAGTAGAAACTGAAAAAAGGACCCCACGGGACCCTGGGGGCCCAACCAATAGCTCCTTCCCCCCCCATCACAGGTCATGCTGACACAAACAATTGGTCCTGCACCCCACCTGGTGATGACTGTTCGGGACTCACTGACGTTGACCAGGAAGCCATCCAGCAGTGGCACAAACATGTCAGCCACATCAGATACCACCATCATCTGTGGCTGAGCCAAGGAACTCTTCACATTGTAGAAGTGCAGCACTTTGTTGTACGTGACAAAGCACACATATGGCCGACTCCTCTGCCCCTCCCTCCCTGTAGGAGGCAATACTCCTCAGTAGATGCACCCCTCCTTCTACATACCAGCCACCCCATCACCCAGAAGGTTATCAGGCCAATGGTCACATTAACAGCCCAGCTGTCCCACCACCCTGGGGGAGGGGGAGGAGGGGAAGAAGAGAATTAAGCTCATGGTCCCTAACCTGGGCAGGAAGTCCAACAGTGACTTGAGCTCCTCACAGAGGAGCCTGACAAGGCCACTCCTAACAGCATTGTAGGAGACATCAATCATGAAGATGAAGGCAGGGGGACGAGGGAACTTGTTGTTCTGAGGTGGAAGGAAGCATGAGAGGAAAGGAGAGTTATCAAGAGACTGACTGAGAAGCAAGAGGATGAAATGGAAAAGAAATAGGAAAGGCTCAGACTGAGCCACCCTTCCACCTCCCTCTAACCTCACCTTGCAGTAATCCACAGTAGCCAGGAATTCATAGGAGCCCAGAGAAAGCTCAGGACGGTCATAGAAGTCCACACGTTTACCAGTGTGATCCAAGTGTTGGAAATATTGGGGAGGAACTGTCAAAGGGTACAGTGGGATGTTACCAAGAAAACCACTTTCTCAATTTCCACGAATAAGAAAGAGGCAGCCTATACTGAACTCAGACTTCAAACTCTCAGCTTCATTCCCACCGGTTCTCAAATTTTCCCAATATTCTTCAGATGGAGCTGCTATAGCCCCAGATACACCACTCCCAGCCCTCATCCACAGACTGACCTTCAGTAACACAGCTGCAAAAGCAGCACTGGAAGCGCCTCCCACCTTCAATGAACTGCATGAAGGGGCACATGTAGGCTTTGCAGCGATTGCAGCGCACGGGGCCTGATTCCCCATGGTCCACAACGTACGGTGGGGCCTAGGGAAGAGAGGGGAGGAGCTGAGACACAGGGGAACCAGGATGGGTCAGACATGAGAGGGACAGGCACTGGGGCAGGGGAGAGGAATGAGAACAACCTGGAGGAAGAGATGGAGGGAGGAAGGGAAAAGGGCGAAGGGAGCAATGGTCACAGGAAATATGTCCCTCAAAGTATGGGTACTGTAATCTCCCCATCTCTAAGATCAGTTCCCTCCTGGGAGAGCTGAAGACTAGCTATGCGGGTTCCATTTAGCTGAGGGCTGTGACAGGAACCAAGATGGAAATTCCCAGATTCTTCTGGGAGCTTTTACTTCAGACCCTGTTCTTATTCCTCCCCCTTAAGCGTTTAAGACTCCTTACCCTCTACTCTCAACTCCCCCTAAATATGTAGGATTCCTGACCTCTACATACTCATGACTTCTGCCCTCCACCATTCCTAAGTATCAGTGACTCCTGTTGTTCCCTTGGGTTGATGAACATAAGCAGATGAGGATCTTCCAGCCAAGTACCCAACTACCTCTCTAAGGCTAGAGCAGACATACATCAAGTAAAACAGAGATGGAAAGTAGGGGCCTTTGGAGGAACTTCAAAATCTTCAGCCAAACCCATTACAACCCTTCCAAAATTAAATGGGTCAGGATGGGAACAGTTATCGACATAAGGCCCCATTTAACCGCCTCCCTCCCCCCAGGAGTGCTTGTGAGGCCTCTAGGATCCATGTGCTGTGGATCCTCCCAGCAGGGTCTCATTTGGCAGCTGCTTAGTTCTCATTACCCAAGTAGTCTATCTGTTAAGGGACTGGGTAACAAGAGAAGGATCTAGGCAGAAGAGAAAGATTGCCTTCCCCTGACAAAGGGAAAAATTGAGATATCAGCTATGTCTAAACTCCCTAGAACTGGTAACTCAAATCCCACCTTCCCCACTCCCACCCCATTTACCCAAACCAAATGTCTTTTGTCAGACTGACTGGAACCTCCAAAGTCCTCCTACCCAGTTTTATCTCTACAGTTCTTTCTAAACATAGGCCTCAGAATGATAAGCAATGAGACCTTCAGCCCTATCCACACAACTAAAACGCGATCACCCTCTGCACTTGGGTGGCACAGTAGGTAGAGTGCTGAAGTCAGGAAAGACCCAAGCTCAAATCATGCCTGGGACACTAGCTGTGTGACCCTGGGGAAGTCCCTTAACCTCTCTGAGCCATTTCCTGGAATAATAATAGGACTGTTCAATTCAAATAAGCACTTTGAAAACCTTAAAGCACAAAATAAATGACTCTTATAACTATTATTTACTCCCACCTCCCTGATCACCCAGAGGGACTCCTTGCTCCCTCCCAACCCCACTGCCCAGAACACTCACCTCCTCAGGGGGCAGCTTGGCCAGTGGCTTGATGACAGCTGCTAGGGGCACCTGAGCCTGCTTGGCCATGTCAGATGTGCAAGGGATATTATATGATGTACACCGGATATATCGGGGACTTGCATTTCCTGCAGGAAATGTAGAGGGCCAAATTTAGACAGTTTGTCTTACTGAACACCCCTACCCACTGACCCTATAATCGCACCAAAAGTGGCTTTATTCCTTGCTATAAGGGGTATGTCCTGCTTAGACATGACAAAAACCTAATTCTCAAGCTGTAGACTATGGTTAAGTTTACCTCCATCCAAATTACGAAGGCCCCTCAGGGATGGAGAAGGGAAAGACTCCACAGAAAGGCGTCAGTGCCCTGCTCACCTTGGTCTTTCACTAAAAAGTTGGTGGTAACCAGGGGTGGGACTTGGCCTCGTGTTCCAGTGACAAATGGCTCTGACCCCCGGTTATTCCTATCATCTTCAATGACTTGGATCTGCAGGAATGAGGAGAATGGGATAAATGTAAAAAGGAAGGAACCAGACCACAGAAAGCCAAGAAATGGAAGAGAACAGAGCTGTACAACAGACTCTGATGATTCACCAAGCAACATACCTACCCACACCCAACCTCCTAAATTAGGTCCCTTTCCACTGAGATACCAACGAATAGGTTATAAACCCAATCCCCACCCTTGATAATCCCCACTGTCAAGCCAACAGCACTCTGAGCGGGCAAAACTGGGGGATGGAGGAGGAGTATGTCAGGTGGTCAATGGGCTAGGCAATGAAATCACTTGACCCCCACAAATGGTTAACCCACCCTGCCCAACCTCTCTTGATGATTCTAGGGCAATCCAAATATAGACCCTTAGGCTGATCAAATTCCCTCTCCCCAACATGACTTCCTTTTCTTTCCCATAAGTTACATTCTGAGTCAAAAGGAAAACAAATGGTAACAAGGTGAAAATGAATCTACCTGAAATGACTCCACACTCAATGGAATGGGCAAAGAGGATAAATGGCGAGGTGGGCAGGGAAACAAAAGCTGCCTTTGTCTCAAAGGAGCACTAGACATGAGCACAGGAAAGATGCTGCATCCTTGCTACCCTAACCCTGATCCTAAGACCCCCTTAATCCTTACAGTGGAATAGAGAACATTATTTTGGTCCAAAGCTTCCCTTCACCCTACAAAGATGCTGAAGGGAAAGAGGAGAAAAATTTGGTGGGCCAGTGATGACATTCTTGACCAGCATGGTCATCTTCAGTCACCCCAGCAAGGGGTAAATGAAGCCAACAGTAAGGGAGAAGACATGCTTCTGATTCCCCCACCTCATATTCCAGTCCTCCATAGCAGAAGGAGGGTTAAAGTCAACAGTATCCAAGTTCATGAGGAAGAGGCCCAGAACCAGCTACACCACCCCTCAACCCAAGCTGGCAAGCACTCTTATAGACAGCTTAGTCCCAAAGCACCAAGGCCCTGTAGACCAGTGCCTCTAAAGAGGCTTGGACTCATCCACAATAGACCAGCATCAAAGTGGGGAAAATCTGACCCCTACTCTCACCCAGTCTTTATGCCTCAAGAAACCAAGTGAGGAGGGGAGGTATTAATCAGGTGAGGTGAACAGAATGGTGGCTTACTTATATTAATAAGAGTTTTCTAGAAACTTCACCCCCATTCTTCACGTGCTGCTGTTCCCATCCCTCTACTTTCTTTGCAACATAGTAAGCAGAGACATGCATGCTGTTCCTGCCAGTGGGAGGATGGGTGGGTCGAAGAATGAAAGGAGCTAGGGAAAGGGTGAACACAGTGAAGGAAGTGAAGCTGAAGTCACAGCATGCACAGGTGGCACCAACACGGAGAAGACGAGCACTCCCCACCCCCGGACTTACTGGGCTAGGAATGGCATCGGGGTCTATTCTGTGCCTGGTTTTCTGCTGAGGAGGCAGCTCATTGAGTTGCTTTTAGTTTGTGTTTTAATAATAAAGGCAGCAAAAGGACACACGGAGAGAAACAAAAGAACAAGCAGATGTTACTTCTCTCAGCCCTGAGGGAGTCAGACACATACATCTGGAGCTCTGAAAACATCATGAAACCAGATTCTGTCTGGGTATGGGAGCTCCTACGTCCCTAGCCTCCCAACTCAAAGGCTCTGGTGGCTCAAGGTGTGATGCAGAAGGACAAGGAACAGGGCACAGATGGATGCCAAGCAGGGAGAGTGTGGAGAAGAGCTGGGCAGGCAGAGATGCTCCAGGGAGGGAAAGGGGTGTTCCCACTTGACCAGTTACCGAGCAGGTAGCCAGCCACCTGGGACACTCATCATTCCACTGAAAGGGTATGACTTCAAACCAGCTGGTCTTCTACGGCTCCAAAAGAGCTCCAATTACCTGAGGAAAGCTTTTGCTCACTCTACCCTCAGCCAGGCAGGCTGCCATCACAGGAGTGGCTCCTCCCCGGGGACCAACCCCACAGAGAGCGGGAAGAGAACACAATGAAATATGATAACTTGAAAGAATTACAGAGTGAGCAACACACCAAATGGTCGGGGGGGCTGATTCAAGAGAGAGCAGCCCCATGGCATCCAGACTGAGCCTCACTGGTTCTCAAACTTCTAACCACATCTGGGAAAAAATTCACTCTCTTTCTGAAAGAACGTACTTCTGCTATAGGCCTTTCAATTCATATTCCCATAGTAAACAGGGAAAAAACTCCCTTCGGTATCAATGAAACTGGAATGTTCCAGGGAGGAAGAGCTCTATCTAATCAGGTTTTAACTGTGGGAGAAATGGCCTCAGCTCATGCTCCAAAGATGAGGCGGTCAGTCCCCAAGACTTCCAAGGTGCGTCTATTAGTTATATACTCACTAAACCTCACCACAGCTCCACAAACTTTGGAGGTTCACACTATGTCCTACCCTATCCCCCCTTACCGCAAATAACAACCAATATTTACTCTAAGCCCTTAAAAAAGAAAAAGAAAGAAAAAAAAGATGAGGGAATAGGACTGAGCAATGTTGCTTAAGATTCTCTCCAGCTTAGCGCACACATACACAGACACACGCAGGTGTACACATGGACACTACTCACAGCACACATGTGCACAAACAGCCACGGTCACAACACAGTGTACCTACAGGGCTAGGAATGGAATCAGGATCCAAGCGCTTCGGGGGAGGTGGCTGAGGAGGGCCAGGTGGGCTGGCAAAGGTGGGTGCTCCAGAGTAGGCTCCCCCATAGCTGGGCTGAGGGCCTCGAACTGGTCCAAAGGAGCCTGCGAGGCAAAGGCGTGAAGATCATAACCCCATAACTTCCTCCCCATCCCCTCTCACAAGGCCTAAGGCATTCCACAAACAAAGGAGATAAATACTGAGGTACAGTGATATAGCTCACTCACCACCAACTTGAAAAAATCAAGTGTAAAGAACACTAACTAATCTTGAAGTCCCAAGTCCGGGATCAGATGCATAATAGCTGTGTGACCCTGGGCAAGTCCCTTAACTTCTCTAAGCCTCAGTTTTCCCATGTTAAATGGAGTCAATACTTGCACCAGCTATTCTATCTCCAAGGGCTGGGTAAGAAAAATACTTCGTAAATCTTCAAGTGTTCTATCAATGTGATTATCAAAATTATCATAGACTCCTGGGAAGGGGAGCTGCTGACAATCTACCTTCTATCCTATACAGAAAACCACTAGTCCAACAAATAGTACTTAAATTCATGGCACACAGATGGCCAGAGCCCCCAGCTCTGACAAAGCCAGTGGGGGGAAGACTCACCATTTTGTTGTAGCTGATAGCCTGGCTGGGAGGAGTGCATAGCTGGTGGTGGTCCTGGGGGGCCAGGCATTGGGGGCTGAGTTTGTGGGGGAGGTGAGGATGCATGGTTGGACTGGCTTACTGGGGGCCCCCCAAAGCTCTGTCCAGGCATGGATGGTCCAGCAAGTGAAGGAGGCCTGGGGCCCCCTGCTGCTGTGGGTGGGAAACCAGAAGCCTGCATAGGGGCAGAGCGCTGTGGGGTTTGGGCACCAGGATGAGCCTGGGCCAGGCTAGTGGGTGGAGCCAGGTTCTGAGGGTAAGAGCCATATAGATTGGAGCCTTGAAAACTTCCTGAGGCTGAAGCCATTGATGTAGGTGGTAGCCCTGAAGAACAGAAGAGGATAAGTTACTACCTTGGTCCCTAATTCCTGCTTTTAACAAGCTACTTCTCTATCCACATAGCAGAGGCGGCTGTAATTATCCCATTTTTTGATACCAAGAGGCACAGGAAAGCAGAGTCAAGGAACCCATCAGAGAACCTTATAGCTTATATCAGCCATAGCTACCAAAGACCTGGAAAACAAAACTCAATGGCAAAGTGCTTGGCAGCATCCAGTGGTTCCATATAAAAAGCTGGTATTGCTTAATTAATGGAAATGTCACTAAAGATGCATGATCACCTGCTTTGCCATTGCACCCCAAAGATGCTGTGCCTTCCCATCCAACTAAAAAACTGAAAGCCTCTGTGTGTGTTGTATCACCCATCAGAGGAACTCTTACTTTTCTATTTATACCTTCAAGGTTTATGTTTGGGCACAGTAAGAGCTTAATAAATGGTTTTTTTCTCCACTCCTTGGGGGACAGGAAGAGAAGGGAAGGAAACAAAGTCTTTGCACCCCCAGGCACTCACCATAGCCTAATCCTGAAGGAGGAGGGGCAGCCTGGCCGCTGATCTGCATTCCTGCCATCTGAGTGGTCACCTGTGCACTGGTTGGGGGAGGGCCATATGGCTGAAATGCAGCTGGCTGGTTCACCAGAGGGGCCACTGGGGCTGGCACAAACGGCTGAGACACAGGGGGCCTGAGGAGAGAGTGGAAATAAAGGTAATAATGAGATCTAGGAACCCTGGCAAACTTGGCAAGAATCCCTACTTCCAAATTACCTTACCCTTCTTTCCCCCTAGCCTGGGCTCTGCCAAGACTTCAGTTTTCCTTTCACATCTATACAGAAATGGTACAACTTCTTGATTATTCAAATTGTGAATTTCTTCGATATATCAAGGATCTGTGATTTCACTGATGTGGTAGGTTTTTCACTGCAGACACTGCAATCTCTCTAACTTAGCAGACTATCATTAAGGGGTCCTACGACTTCTCTACCCCAGCCCCCCCCCACCAAAACATCACCCTGCTGCCAACCTGGTGGTGAAGCTCCAAACTGAAACAGGCTGGTCCTTAGACAACAGTATCTGTCAACAGTATCACTGAGATCACATTCAAAGCCTTTTCACCTGGGAAAAACCCACCAGAGACTGTACTCTAATGGCAAAGCCTTCAAGAATCCAAAATCATCTCCTCTCAACAGTGAGATATTGGGTTAGATATTCATGAGACAATACTGTGAACCTTTTTTTTTTGGTGGCATTTATGGCAAATCTAGTTCTGAACTTCAGAGTGCATAACCATGACATCACCACCTTCTCTGCCTAAACCCGTCACTGACATTACTTGCCACAGTATGGCAGTCCACAGTCCAAGGGCTAGAAGTGAAAGAGCACTGTGTTATACTAACAGTCTACTGGTCAGATGAATGCTATTTGAGACTTCTTCCCAAAATACAGGTGTGAGCCATAAAGTAAACAAATTCAGAGAGCAGTTCATCTCAGGCCAGCACGTTGCATGAGTATAAGAGGCAATGCTTGCTTTCAAATGTCAGCTGACTGGGGAAAAGAAGGCTAAAAAACTTTTCAACTCCTCCTAAATGAGCTCTTCATAGGGTAGTTTCATTATCTGTTTTAAAGTATTTTGCATTCTCCTAACTCCAGATATGAAGGCAGCTAGGTTGCTTAGTGGATAGAGCGCTGGGCCTGGAATAAGGAAGATCTGAGTTTAAATCTGGCCTCAGACAGATACTGTCTGTGTGACCCTGGGCAAGTCACTTAATCTTTGTTTGCCTCACTTAATCCACTGCAGAATGAAATGGCAAACCACTCCAGTATCTTTGCCAAGAAAACCCCAAAGGCAGCACTGACATGCTATGATTTATGGGGTCACAATGCACTGGACACAACTCAATAATAACAACAAAAAACATCAGACACATCCAATTGTTTCAGAGCCACTATTCAAATATTAGTACAAAACCACATTTCAAATTATACCAGGTGACAAAACTCACTGCTATAAGAGTTTTAAAAAACATGTATACACATTGCTGCTAGAACTGAAAATAAATAGAATCTTTTTATATATAATCTAAAACTTTAAAAGAATCATGAAATTGTTTGTTTGTTTGTTTTGGCTAGGCAATGGGGTTAAGTGACTTGCCCAAGGTCACACAGCTAATAAGTGTTACATGTCTGAGGGTGGATTTGAACTCAGGTCCTTCTGAATCCAGGGCCAGTGCTCTATCCACTGAGCCACCCAGCTGCCCCTAGAATCATGAAATTTAATCAAATAATGTCATTATTGGGAATATACTCCAAGAATGTAATCATAAAAAATAAGATATACAATAGATATGGATGGAATTTATTTAGAAATGAATTTTCATAAATATAGATGTATTGGAAAACCTTAATACTCTGCATCTGGTGAATAGCTGAATGATCTGTATCAGTGTATGTATATCAGTATACCAGTGTAACGAAGTGAACTATCAGTGTACTACAATGGCATAACAGCAGTACATCAAGGATCTGTGATTTCAATGGCGAACTAATACAAATCTCAAACCATCTAAAATGTAGAAAACAGGTCTTAGAGACCTGCCTTAGGCTCAGAGAGACTGTGACCAGGCCATGGCCACATGGCAAGTAAGAAATGAAAGGAAGCTCTGAACTGAGGGGTCATGTTACCATTAGACATGATAAATATAAGACCACTAAAGAAATTTGGAAAGGTTTCTAGGAAGTGACATCAAGTGGAGAAAGCAGACACAGCAAGAGAGAGAAAACTCTATACATAAAGATGGATCACAGGAGATCACAGGTTGAAAGGATCACCAAGGCTTCTTCAATCCCTTGTTTCACGGAGGAGAAAGCAGAGGTCCATACAGGCTAACTTACTTGCCCATGTTCTGTCAAGTACTAAAGGGCAGAGTGGTATTCCTGTTGCCTTAAAATGAGACTGACAAATAGAAGAAACAACCAATAAACTATTATGGACATACTATGTGTATTAAATCTTAACTGTTAATAGTTATAAATGTTATATTTAATTGATTTTGTTGTTTGAAAATTAAATCAAAGTAATTTAAAGGAGTCTGGCTAAAATACTACCCTTGGAGTACATGTTAGAGGCCTATAATATAACAAGGTCCTTCTGGTGTTTCTGTGGGGGAAAAAACTCCCTTGGACAGAAGCCCAGACAGACCTGCCATCCCAAACTCTATGCTAAAGTAGACTATATTACCATGAAGACTTTGCTCTCTCACCTCTTTCTTTAATTTGTAATCCACAATTAACAGTATTCATATATATATTACGTTTAGAATTTTGTTTATTGTTTCATTCCTATTAGTTTTATCTTCCCCACTACACTGTGGACAAGACTATACTTTGTACTCTCTGACACCTAGCTCATTAAGCACAAAGTTGGTACTCAATGGATACCTGTTTCATCAACCACCCTTGTATTAGCATGGATGATTAAGAGCTCATTTCATTCTTATCAAACATATATTTATCTCATGGACCCAAGAAGATAAAGGTCACTTGCCACATGTTCAGCTAACAAAGGTCAGGAAGTTTCCCAGGCTATTTCTCTCACTTTCTTTCACCACAACGTATAAATCTAAATTCTGGGGCCCTCTGCCTTCTCCTTCATTAAATGAGAAACAATGCCCTAGTGGAAAAGGCTGCTGAAGGACCTGAGCACTACTTTGCCAAATACTTCGGATAATATCTCACCTACGCCTCCCTGCTATGCCCCTCATCCCAGTTTTCATTGCTTCTGCCTCTGAAATGGAGGGGCTGCTCTTTTCTCTGTGCTTTGGGACAAGGCTGGCCTGAGGTCAGCCAGCCAGTCATATACTGAGTCTAGTGACAGGAGCAGGCCTAAGGGATCTCAAAGACCCTTCCTATTCTTTCCTAGGGGTGGAACTCAGTAAGGGCAGTAATGTTAACTGCTGAATGGTGTCTAGATGAGAAAAAATCCAGTGGCAGAGAGCCTAGCGCTCAAAGGACAGAATGTGAAACAGAACCCTAGCTAAGAGGCCAGTATACCACCAATAGCAGAGGACTAGGGAAAGGAAATGAGAGAAATAAAAAAGATGGGGAGAAGGAAAATAGGTCAAGAAAGGAGGAAAGGGAAAAAGAGAGATGAAAGGGAATAGACAGCAAAAGGAAGGGGACCCACTCGCACTGTTGCCTACTGCTCATGTAGCCTGGATACCATCTGCATCTCTCTTTATCTGAGATAAACCAAGGGTGACCCAAACACTTACCTCTGCATCTGAACAGTGGAGCTTGGCCCATTCTGCACATCTCCTTGGCCAAACTGGCCATATGCAGACGGGCCACTAGGAACTCGGGCTGTAGCAGAGGATGGGGGTGTTCCCGAGGAAGGTGGTGCTCTTGGCACACCTGAGAGAAATGGACAGAAACTCAGTGATTACCAAAAGGTCTTCTTTTTTCTACCCTGGACCAGAGACTCAAAATAGCGATCCAGTGAGCTCAGGCACCTACTGGTCACTCCCACTGCCTCACAGTGAAGATGAAACTACTGATTGTCAATTCTAGCCATGGAAGCCATTCTTGTCCTGGAACCCTGAACAGCAAGCTCCCCCCTCACCCCTATCACTGTCACTGGCTGAGCCCTCTATCAGTCACAAAACCCAAATCCTGTGGCTTCTACCTTCTCAACATCTCTTATATATAACCCTTTCCTCCAACACAGGCCCTCATCACCTTAAGTCCAGGCAATAGCCTTCTTTGGTTCATCTACCTGCCCCAATTCTCTTCCCTACTGGGCTGCCAGTCATTTTCCTAAAGCATAGATTTCTGACCATATCATCCTACCATCCCCCTACCATACTTCCTTTTGCTGTCTCTCTATTACCTCTAGAATCAAATATAAAATCTTCTGTTTGGCTTTCGAAGCTCTTCATAACCTGGCTCCTTCCAACCTTTCCAGTTTTCTCATACTTTACTCCATGTACTCTATGATCCAGCAACACCAGCCTCTTTGCCATTCTTTGCACACGACACTCCATGTGCACCCAACTAAGTGCCTTTTTACTTACTGTCTCCCACAAGCCTGAATTGTATCTTTCCTCATCTCTACCTCCCGCTTCTCTGGCTTCCTTCAAGTGTTAGCTCAAATCCCATCTTCTGCAAGAGGCCTTTTTCAATCCTCTTCCCTGCCCCACATGCTAGTGCTTTCCTGGAGATCACCTCCAGTTTACTGTGAACACCTTGCATGTACATAGTTGTTTTCAGGTTGTCTTCACCACTAGAATGGGAGCTCCGTGAGGACAGTGCCTGTTTTTGCCTTTCTTTCTCTCCTTAAGAGTTTAGCACAGTTTCTGACATATAGTAAGCACTTAATAAATGCTCAACGACTTGACCTGACTCCCCAATTCAGTATAGTTTTGCCCTTTCACAGCCCAGATGTTACCATTTCCTAGGAAAAATCATCTCAACTAAGGATTAGCAATTTGATAAACCATAAAGGGGAAGATAAGAAATTTTGGAAGGGCACGACATAGACTTTGACTATGAAAGTATGTGAAGGAGAGGGTGAGGGTAGAGAACCCACCGTTGTCACCTACTCTTCACCTCCTCTCTCTGGGTCCCTGGCACATCTCAGCCAGGCCTCTTCCCAACATCTTCTCGTTTGTACCCTGTCCCTAATCTCCTCTCACAAGCGCTGTCATTCCTGACTCCACTGGTTACATGGTGCAATGGAAAGAAGGCTTGTTTTGGAGTCAGAAGAGCCAGACTGGAACTTCAGCTCTAACCCTTACTTGTGTGACTCTGCACAAGTTGCTTAACTTCTATAGGTCTCAGTTATTAATCTGTCAAATGAAGAGTTTAGACTAGATGAACTCTCAGATCCCTTCCAGATCTAAATCTATGATCCTATGAACCCATTTCTATCCCTAAGGAAAGATATAACCTCCCCTCTATACCCTTTAAGAGGTTCTGAGGGCAGCTCCATCCTCCCCCACCACCACCACCACTACCACTCCCTTTTTCCCCCATAAGGAAACTCCATTATTCATTTCTTCTACACCACTTCTGTTCTGCCTTCACAGTTAGAATCACAGAATTTCAGCGATGATAGAAGCCTTGGAGATCATCTAGTCTAATATGCTCAAATGATAAAGAAACAACAATCATTGAAATTAAAATGACTTGCCTGAGGTCATGAGAACTAGTGAAACTCAAGTCCCCTAAATCTTGATCAGAATATTATTCCACAAAACCAGCCCAGTTTCTTTTGTTCTGCTCTCAGTGGAGGCAGAGACACCAGAAGGGACATGACAAATCTGACTTTACAGAAGTATCATGACATGTTTAAAAGAGCACTGGCCTAGCAGTCAAGACCTGAGTGTCTGCTCCAGCGGTTCCATTTACTAGCTTTGAGACCAAATCATACAAACATTTTAAGCTTCATTTGTCGCATCTGGAAAACAGGGATACTTATTTTACCTACTTCACATGGTTATGAGGAAAACACTTTGTAAACCTCAAAATACTATACAAATGAAAATTATTGTCATTAAAAAGTACGTGAAGGGGCAGCTAGGGGGCACAGTGGATGCAGCACTGGCCCTGGATTCAGGAGGACCTGAGTTCAAATCCAGCCTCAGATACATAACACTTACTAGCTGCATGACCCTGGGCAAGTCACTTAACCCCACTGCCCAGCCAAAAGGGGGGAAAAAAGTATGTGAAAGTGCTTTGTGAAGTACAAAGTCCTTTATAAACTAAGGTATTGATATCGATGAATCACAGCAGGGCCCCAGACTTGTTCCTGTTTCAGAGATGACTCTTCAGGTGATGCCAAACTCCTGTTTCATACGTCAGGAGTTAGAGGCCTAAGCTGGACTCTGTCATGACCAAAGTCCCAAATCAAGACAAAGCAGGGACATATTACAAATCTGAGAACTTATTTTTCACCTCCTGTCAGTCTCAGCATTACCAACTCTGAATTCTAATACTTCATTCTCATTTTTCACATTTCTTCCACAAGTCCTTGGTGGTCTCCCCTCTTCTCATTGTCATTAAAAACAGTGTGTGGCACACACACCAAAGATATACTCTCTTCTCTAAGATGTTCCTCTGAGTAACCTGAAATAAGGTACAGAATCCCATTTGCCCGCACAATCAGTACTACACTTCTTGAAGGAGTATTATAATAAAACATGAACCCTATAATGTCAGAGTGATTTTTCAAAGCCCTCCAAACACACACAGTACCCAAAAGACTGAGGTGCCTGAAGTAAGGCTGTGACAGAAGCAAATGATCTCAGCAGAAATTTATAAAAGGCCTAAAAAGTCAGATGTGTAAACTCTATCCCTTCTACTGAACAGCCAGTTTCTCAAGTTCTTAGACCTAGTCAGTCCTGAAGAGCCAAACCCAATCACCGGAAATAGTTCAAGAATTCTCAAGGTAGACCAATATAGGACACCAAACAACAAGGGTCCTACCATCCAGAGGCTTGAAAAGCACCTACCCCTACTGGGTAACTGGTAGCCATGCCCCTTCCCCATCTAGTCCCTGCCAGCACGCCCAGACTGGCTGTAGTCCAAGGAAACTAGAACACCACCTCATGGTGATATCTATAAGCAATGAATTATCAACGACGTGGAAGCTACACATCCATTAAATGTCACAAAGGTGAATCAGAACCAGAAATAAGAAAGAGTAGATGCTAAGTGGCACACATAAAGAAGTATTTACACCAAAGACCCCCAAAGACCCTCAACAGGATGCCGCCACCACCTCCTCATACCTTACAAGTAACTCAAACACATACCTGGGGGAGGCAGCTGCTGATAGCCTGGCATGGGACCATTGTAGGCTCCATAAGGACTAGGCGGGATTATAGGTCCTGGCTGCCCACCATAGCTGGACTGATACCCAGTGTAGCCAGGCTGAGGCTGTCCATACGGCACCCCAGGGGGAGCTGGCTGATTGACATTCATCTTGAGTGCATCCCCAAACTGGCCTCACCTGCAGGGCAGGAGAAGGAGACAGAGAAGGTTCAGAAACTAGCTTTTCAAAGTTGCAACATATGATATAAGTGATACTCAGCTCAAGATGGGACTGAGGCTGGCTAGATGTCTGCTCTTGAGCAAAGTCCTCTGTGAGTTTCTGCTCTGAGTCAGGATTTGGTTGGAGCCCCTATCCGGTGTTTCACAGTGCAAACTATTCTCCCTGGTGTAGAACAGCAACCCATTTCCAAGTTTTCTGGTAAGGCTCACAATGACACAACCTGATTCTGAGACTACTTATATCCACAATACAATTCAAGTAAAATCCCTCTTCACCCCCCCCCCCCAAACCAATCGTACTAAGATGTCTGAAATGGTCATATCTTTGTCTCTGCATTCTCACTGCCTAGCACACACAGAGAAAGGTTCAATAACTTTCACTGAATAGGAAATAGTAGAACAAACACTACAGAATCTGGACTAGCTGTCTGGCAACAGTAAACCTAAATGCTATCCCACCTTCAACCCTTCTGCTAAGGTGCAAGGCAGGTCCCTTCCAAGCCCCAAGGCACTGACTCTGTGAGGCTTAATGAAGAGCATTCTCAGCTCCTGCCACCTCTACGGCATGGGCTGTCAACATGATCAGCCAACCGTACATGTACAAAAGGAGAAAAGGGGAGGCGGGAGGGCGAACAAGAAGGGTTTCTCTCCCTCGAAGACGGGGTGCGTGGGAGAGACGAGCCACAGGCCCCACAACAAGCACACGCAGCAAGGTGCACACGCGTGGCGGGCGGGGGGTCCCCGGGTGACAGTCCCGAGGGGGCGGGGAGAGCTCCCCTTGGCTCCGAAGGCTGGGGGGCTACCCCTGTAGAGGCTGAGAAGACGCAAGTGGGCGGCCGGTGGGTCCTCAGCCCGACAGCCACGGCTAAAGGTTGGAAGAGTGGGCAGGCAGGACAACAGCATCACCTCTTCCGGTCAAAGAGGACTCCGGGCTGGGTGACCCCCCGCGCTGCAGACCCAAGGGGATAAGGGAGGCAAGCGGGAAGCCGGACCGGGTGGGGCCCTCGGCCCGGGCCGGGAGTAAGAAGGTGAAGGCTCGCGGTGATGGGGGTTCCGGCCCCGTCCACTCCCGCCTGGCCGCAGCCCCGCCCCCGGGCTCCTCCCTTCCCTTGCGCACAGGGTTCGCCCAGGAAGGGCCCCCCGAACGTCAAGTCTGTCTCGTCACTCCCCAGCCTTCTCTCAGTCCTCCTGTCCTCGACCTCTCCCCCCTCTCAAAGGCCTCACCCGGCTCCAGATCCGGCGCCTGCCCCGGCTGCGTTCCCGGCGTCGCGACTCCCAGGCCCCACTTCCGGTTCCGAGCCGGCCGTCGTGTCGCCGCCGGAAGTGCCTCCCCCGCGCACGGAGGCCTCCGGGGCTGCCACGTCCTCACTAGGACGAGGCGAACGGCCCCGGATGTTGCGCGTGCGCGAAGGCCACCGCTGCCACCTCCCAATCATGGCAGCAGCGGAGGAAGCTTTGCTGTTTCTGACGTATTTCCGCCCCTTGCGATGATGTTACGTCAGGGCCCTGACATCCCGCCCCTTCCATTAGCACCGCCCCCTCAACCCACCCTAAGTCTAAACTTCGATGGCGTTAGACTCGGCAGCTGAGATGGACGCCCCTTTAGCACTCCTGTGACGTGCTCATGACCTCTCACCCCGAGTCCAGGGGAGACCCTGAAGCCAAGGGCTTCAGCTTGGAAGCCCGGACCTAACAGGCGGCGGAGGCTACGTGGTTTCCTTTGCTGAGCCCAGGACTCTGCTTCAGCGCCCCCTGCTGGTTGCTTGGATGCATGCAGAAATACATGTCTGTAGAATGGAAGCTCTCCAAGGACAGGCACCCCTCCCTTTTCCAACCATATCCCTAGGGCCTAGTATGTTTACAAGCACATAGAGACCATAGACTAGTTAATTAGGAAGCCTTTCCCTCAGGAAATTCCTGTCTTAAATGGGATGTACTATCCCTGACCCTGAAGAACTCACAGGCTTGGGGGAGGTGATGATGAAGATGATCAATAACACTGATAACAAGGGAAACAATAGCAACTACAAACTATAAGCTGCAAAGACTTAATTCCTATCGAATACCTCACAAAACATAACCTGGTGGCTATAATTAAACACCAGAGAAACTTGCTGACATAGCCAAAACCCCTCAAAACATCCTTGAAAACTAAACCGTAAATTGTGCTGGAGCTGGAGCATCATCGCAAACCAAACTATTGTTTACTAGTGCTAAGACATGACCCATAACAACTTCAGAACAAGTTTTTAATAGCTGTAAACCATTACTAAGTACTCGTACATAATCTCCAAATTGCATGGAACAAAGATACAACGTCAAAATACAGAATCTAGTAGAGGAAATTAAAATCAGGTAGGAATAGGATAGGAAACATACATTGCCATCCTGTTTCCTACTGAAGTTGTACGGAGCATGCTTTCAACAAATCTACAGAAGATAAGCATACGTCATAATTACGTTTATTCAATTACAGGAAGAAATAATTTTGCACTAAACATAAAAAGAATAATGACAGGATAGCAACTTGTTCCAGGAAAGTTTCTAATTGAACTCCCCTGAACAAGATAAAAATTATTTCTCCATATCTCCATAAATAAGAGAAGAACAAGATAACGAGTATGACTAATATCTTTTATGGGCCACAGTATTCTCCCAGTGGTGCTGCAAGTCATTGGACAGTATAATCCCCAAAGAATCAAAATTATAGGAGATCCAAAGTACAATGTACAGAGACATGATTTTGGATACCAGGTGTTAAGTGAAGACTAATGCCTAGGACCAGGGAGGTGGTAATCCTGCCATACTCTGCCCAGATCTCTATTTATTTGGAGTATTGTGTTCAATTTTAGGAAGCATGTTATAAGAAAGACCTTGTCAAAATGAAGAGTAACCAAATAAGGATGATAAAATTCCTCTACCTTTGGAGATGATATTATCAGTTGAAAGAATTGGGAATGTATAGCATGCAGAAGAACAACTGTGGAGACATCGCCATTATGATGACATCATAGCATATATAGTATATAGTGCCTTAAGGTTTGCAAACACTTAAGAAATATCTCATTTGATCCTCCAACACCCCTATGAGGTAATTGCTATTATTGTACCCATTTTTACAGATGAGGAAACTGGAGTTTAAGCGACTTGCCTAGGTTAATACAACTGGTAAATGTCTGAGCTCAGATTTTACATCATCTTCCTAATTCAGTGTTTTTTTATCCATTGTACCACTTAGCTGCCATGTTATCTTTCTTCGTGTATTTCAAGGATTGTATGTGGAAGAGGGATATACTGTTCCACTTTGCCCCAGAGGACAGATTTAGGAATAGTAGACAGAAGATACAAAGCAGATTGAAGTTCCCTGTAAAATATATTTTCCTAACATTTGGAGCTATCCAAAGGGAGGGAAATTGGTTGCCTCAGGAGGTAATAAATTCTTTCTCACTAGAGGTCTCAAGAGGAAGATTGGGTGAACTTTTCATGATGTTGTAGGGAGGATTTCTATACAAATGTGGGTTGGAGGAAGGAGTATCTGAAGTGCCTTCTAACTTGGAGCATCTGTAATTTTGTGGTGACTTGCAAAGGTAGGTTTTAGCAGAAGGCTTCCAGCACAGTGGATAGCTCTTCTATAGAAGATAATTCTAGTAGTTGATACTTACATAGCACCTTTTTTTTTTTTTGCTTTTAGGTGAGGCAATTGGGGTTAAGTGACTTACCCAGGGTCACATAGCTAGTAAGTATTAGGTGTCTGAGGCCAGATTTGAACTCTGGTCCTTCTGACTCCAAGGCCGGAGCTCTATCCACTGCACCACCCAGCTGCCCCTACATCTTTCTTTTTTTTTTCTTACATAGCACTTTTAAAGTTTACAAAGAACTGTATACACATCTGATTTTATCTTCATTATAACTCTATGGGTGGTAGGTACTTCAGGTATTATTTTTCCCACTTTAAAGATGAGGAAACTAGCTTTAAAATGTTAAATGAATTGCTTATGATTACATATCTAGTAAATTAAAGTCGAAGATCAACCTCAGGTCTTGTCTTGCTCTGGATGCAATAGTCTATGCCACAATGAAGTTCATTTTGCAGGAATTTGGAAGAGTTCAGGAACAAGAATCATTGATGATGAGAAGGGGTGCATGGGTTGTGATCTGCACTGGTGGAGAGAATTTCTATCAGCGATACCTCAGAGAAACACATTTTCATTGCACTTTATTGTTTACAAGCATTTTCCTCACAACAATCTTGTGAGGTATGTAGTCCAGATGCTATTGTTATCTCATTTTTTCCGAATAAGTGAACTGAGCCTCAAGAAATATACCTAGCATAGGAAAAACAGATAACGTAAATATGAAAAAATATTTAACAGCCTAATTTAAAATTCTTTGACCACTGATTATAGAAACACTTTAGCCGATTTTCTTTAATGGAGCCCCTCCTTTTTTGGGACTCCAAGCATGGGAGGGACAGTTGGACAGTAGCTGCATCAATCAATCAAGCAAACAAACATTTATTAAGTGATTATAATGTGCCTAGTAGTATCAGTGGGGATTGAGAGAGTAGCTCCAGATTATGCCAGATATTCATACACTCATATAGTTTGTGTACATATATGTGTATAGATGTATATACGTATATACATCTATACACACACACAGAGTAATTTGGAGGTAGAGAGTCACCCACAAGCCTTCCTGATAAAAACACCAGAATAGTGTACGAACTTTTAAATACAAACACAGGGAGTAAGAGAAACACTAAAAAAAAAAAAAAGGAAATGTGAGTGACCGATGTTAAGGGACTTACGCAAGGTTAAATTATTAACATTTTAAAATGGGGAAATGGGGGGCAGCTAGGTGGCACAGCGGATAGAGCACCGGCCCTGAAGTAAGGAGTACCTGAGTTCAAATCCAGCCTCAGACCAAATGCTTGACACTTACTACCTGTGTGACCCTGGGCAAGTCACTTAACCCCAATTGCCTAAAAATAAAAATAATAAAATAAAATTGGGAAATGATAGGCATTCCCTCAGAAACTTATCATCATCAAGCGTCATCAAGGGAAACTCATAAGACAGATGGCCAGGAAGAGGTTCTGATATTTTAATGGTCTTAAAGGAAGAAAGGAAAGGGAAGGGGAAAGTATTACACTGAGGAGGGCTGGGGGGAAATGTCATTGAATCAGGGTACACAAGTAGACTATACAGACAAAGAGGACAGAGGTGAGGGGAACAGGCAACACTTGAACTTCACCTTTATCTGAACTGGCCAAAGAAAGGAAGAACATACCAACGCAAATGTGTTCGCAGAGATGTGGGTGCAGAAATACATTTCATTCATAGAGAAAAGCACGGAAGAGAAGAATGAAGAAGTGTAGATTAGTCATACTTGTTATGCTTTAATTCTGTACCTGAATTACCTTTGCCACACCCACATCCTCTACTGAGGCATTGTGGGAACTGATTCAAATTTATAAGAGGACAGGTCATTCTCTGATTGATAAATGGATACAGGAAGTATTTTTCCAAAGAAGAGATCCAAGCTTTCAAAACGCATATGAAAAAGAGTCCTCTAAATCAAATCGTTCCACAGATATTTGCTAACTGTGTAACCCTGGTGAAGTCACTTAACTTTTTTCAGCCTCAGTTTCCTTCTCTTTATAATAATATAATAATAACATCTACTTTACGGGGTTGTTATGAGGATCAAAGTGCTTTGCAAACTTTAAAGCACTACGTAAACGCTAGCTATTAACAGAACAGTACAATCATTTGAGAGTCTAAAATTCAAGCCATATTAGAACAGGAAATAATTTTGCCAGAATGCTAATTAGCTGAGTTACATCGTCAGTTAATAAAAGTTTATTAAGCAATGATCAAATAAGATAACATTTGTAATGCACTTAGCGTGGTGGTGTAACGTACAGCAGGTGCTATATAAATGCTTATTCCCTGCCCCTCCTATTAAGAATCCACTATGAGCCAGACTTGGGTGCTAAGTACTGGGGATACAAAAAAGGCAAATGATGGTTCCTGCCTTCAAGAAGCTCACAGTCTAATGGCTGTCATATCCAACAGCTGAGTTTGATCTTTCCATTGGCTTCTCTCTGATGCCAGTTCTTCCCTTGGCATCTGCCAGATCCTGCTGCTGCTTAGGCCCTCTATCTTCTCTGCTGATTGGTGATGGGAAAGGGGAAGATACCAGCTGTCGTTACTGCCGACCTTTTGATGCTCACAAGGTTGATGCTAATGGAAGGAGGCAAAGGCAGCCAAGGGGTCCAGTAGAAACGTGGCTCATCGAGTT